CCCCACACCAGTTTTCCATGACCATGGCAACACGTCGCCGTGAGGGAGGGTCTCAGAACCCAGAAATCGGGGCCTGACCACACTGCAGTGTGGTCAAGGTCAGCGTCCTCCAGAGGCTCCAAGGGCAGGTCCAGTCCACACTCCCCCTGGCCCCCAGCGGTGCCAGCCGACCTCGGCCCACTCTGGCTGTGGATCATCTGTCCCCGTCTCCACACTGCTACCCTCTGCCTGGGTCTGTCAGGTTGTCCTAAAGGACACCAGTCCAGGATGAGTGCGTCTCAACATCCCTTCATTATGTCTGCAAAGATCCTATTTGCAAATAAGGTCACGCTCACCGTCACCGGGGGTCAGGTCTCGGATGTCCCTTGGTGCTCCTCACCCACTCTGCCTTCCCTTGCTTCTTGGCCCCTCCTTTGCCTCTTCCTTCTCTCCGCCCCACCCCACCCCCCATCCCTCTCCTCTTTCTTCTTTCCTCTTCTCTCTCCTTTGTCTCTTCTCCTCCTTCCCTTCCCTGCCTGGAACCAAGCTCAGCTGCTCTGGGCACCGGGAGAGGCAGCCCTGGCACAGGGCTGAGGCTGGAGCCCATGGGGCACCCTGTCACCTTGGGATTAACGGCTCTGGCTCTCAGACAGGAGGCTGAGGCTCCACGGGAGCAGACAGAATGCAGAGCTGAAAGTTCATCAGTGAGGTCTGATCCCTTCAATGGCCTCCCAGCCCATCTCCCAGTCTCCGTCACAAACTAACCTGGTCATGGGGACATTCCATCAGGGATCAGGGGCACCTGGAGGCTGGTTCTCAAACTGAGAACCCTGTGGGAGTTCAAGAAAGTCCCAGGCCTGGTGACCCCTGCTTGCAAAACTGCATCTTGTTACTGTGGGTCCCCCCCAAAACAGACCTGAAGGAACGGGTGTGAGCACAAGCCATTGGCCTGGGGTGTGCAAGGGAGACCAACAGAGAGTAGTGACATAACCCAACAAGGGAAGGCAGAGTGCACGGGCGTGTCAGTACAGAAGTGACTCCACATGAGATGGAACAAGAACTCACAAGTCAGAAATTC